ATTAACACTTGAAAAAAATAATTTTCTAGGATCTCCAAATTAGTCCGTACAGTATATAGAGTTTCAATACTAATGAATCTTTTACAATATAGAAACGCATAGAGAAATATAGAAATATATTTTTCATCAGCTTTGTACTATAATGAAAAGGATTTTTATCAAGAAAATTAAGAACATATACAATAGCAGAATATTACAGACATTGTGAACAATAATTACCATATCTGTAGATCATATTTTCCGTTATGTCCAAACCTTTTTTCGCACCTTTATGAGAAAAATAATGATTTTAGTTGCGTTTGTAAATGTGTTGCCATCGACAATTTTTTCAATTACACCTTTACAAAGAAGAAAATAATGAAAAAGTTCTTTGTTGTGTTTTAAAGGAAAATAAATGTGTTACATAAACAGTATTTCGTTTTACTCTGTAAACAGACAATTTTTTCAGTTCCACACTATATATTCAATATTAACGTGAAATATTTACAAGGTAGCTAAGTCACTCCTCAGCTTTTTAGAAAATTTCACGCAGAAGCTTTTACTTCAAAACTACTAATCAGAATTCAATTTTTATGACATATTTATATTCAAAAATGTAAATTTTTTAACATTCAATGAAAAAACTGCTCAAAAATCAACAAAGAAGCAAGATTTATGAGGGACTATTTCTTTTGGTGGAAGGATATTTAGCAGAAAATTCTGCAAATCTGCACATTTATAAAATTCAATGCAATGGAAATTTAGGAAAATAAAACGTTTTGATATTGCTAAAAATATTAATATGATCTTAAGTTATATTTTAAGACTAAGTTTTACACCTTCCCTCAACAAACTTTCAAGGTCAAATTTACACCATTTTTAGCCTGAAAATCACATATTTTGACAAATATTTCAAAATTAACATCACTGACCCCACCTTTTTCTTTCACTATTTTAAACTACTCGATACTTGTGACTGATCAGCACTCAAGTCGTAAAAAGTTTGATATAAGAAAATTTTTTATTGCCTATTAAGTTTTTTAATACCCTAAATATATTATTTTTTAGTGCAAAAAGGTCAAACAATAATTTAAGCGCATTAATTTGAAAGATTTTTTAAATGTTAAATATTATTCAAACTATTTTACAAAAAATAAGATTATATTTATTGCCTTGATTAAATCTAATCAAATATAATAAGGGTTAAAGTAATTAACCAAAGAAATGAAATGTAAGTGCAAAAAGGTCAACTTAAATGTACCGTAGATAAGTAGGATGCACACTGACCCCCTATTTTCTTTGCAATTTTGAGTTACTCTTTATGAGTACTTATCAAAAATATACTTCTCAAAAAATCCTTGATATAACAAACTTGAGGAGTGACTTACCTTAACATCACAAAATAGGAGGGGAGCAAACACGGAACCCAAGAACTTCAGAAATGGGATCAGGTGTCATGAAGGAGTAAGCATCCCTACCGACAGGTCACATTCGCCGTGTGCTCTTTGTCATGATCGGGAAATAACGAAAAAAAATCTGAAATATAATTTTTGGGGGTTTAACATTACAAAGTTATCTACATAGAGGACGGCTTTTACCTCTTTTTACTGGACATCCCGTTGCAATAGGTTCATTTTCTAATATTCGAGGTTCATTACAGACTTGAACGTCGTATTTATCCCTTTCATCTTTGGTAGATCCATATCTGTAGCCATAGACTAAACCGGTATCCCAATTTACGTTTAACCAGCCGACTGAAAAAAAAATGATGAGGAAAATCTTTTCGTTTTTGAGATTGTAATGATTTTTTAAAAGAAAAAAAGGGACTTTCAATGTCAATGATCAGTTAACCGATGAACAATAGCGCAATGAAAACCCAGTTTGAGTAAACAAAATACAAAAACCCATATTTTATCTTAATAGATCTAAAGGACAAAATGTTTTAAATCCAGAAATCTTTAAATAAAATGGCAGTATTAAAAAAACATTTTGAAATAAAAACTCTGGAGATGAATCAAAAAAAAAAATATCTGGGTGTTTGCATATCTTAATTTGCAGAGTTACAAATAAATATTCACTTATACAATTATTAGTATAGGCTAAGCATACAGACAGATAATGGAAAATTGCAGTTCGTACTCTTTTTAAAAATCATGGATTATAATATTTTTTCTGCCAAAGAATAATCAAAGATATTTAAAGAAAAGTGCTCTCACCCTCCTTTAAGTGTCCTATGACTGTTCCAGGACCATTGCTATCCTGATTATTCCACTTCCAGTCTCGTCCACGTTTGGCCCGTGATCCTAAAGGAGGCATTCGAGGGTCTCTCTCTTGATATACTTCATCAATTTCATCGACAACTTCTGCTTTTACTGAATCCTCGGAATTATATAATGATTTCTTTGAGCATATTTCAAATATATCCTCCTAGAAAGTATGAAATAAATAAATAAATAAATATGACTTTACAAATTAAATAGTGAAATTCTCAAAAAATGCTCACAATTCTTATAAAACAAAATTCATGCTTAAACATGTAAAAAGAAGACAAAATAATTTTCTTCCTTTGAAATTAAAGATTGTCGGATTTATAGAATTTATCTGATCTCTTTCTGAAAATTACTGCAAACCAACTTTTATTCGCAACGACATTGTTTCGCGATTTACCAGGGCTAAACTAAGTCACGACGATTTATTTTCATGATCAAACCTTTTTGGATTTGTTGTTAATAGACACAAAGACTTTAAGGTCTAGTTGACGGCGAGAAATATTCACGATGACGAGAGCCTCGCGAACTTCGCAAAAATTTATCGAATGCAAATAAAGTAGGCTTTCAGTATCAGGAAACTTCAATTTCAAAATACCTGATCTTTCTCTGAGAATTCTTTATCAGGAAAGTTACAAGCCAGCAACGTCAGAATCATGTCGTGGTCATTCCCATCATTTCTCATGTTATACGATAACATGGAGGCAGTTCTCTTTAAAAAATATAAGTCGATTTCTTTAATATTTCACAATGTCGAGGCCTAAAAAATGGATATCTAAGAATGAGGTATCTTAGATGAATAACTTTTATTAATGCAAGGAACAGGTCACAGGAATTTTGCATGTTATTTTTCCGTGAAGTGATTTCTTGTATTTACCATATTTTCTGTATATTTTGCAAACTGTCTGGTCTCGTAGGGAAAAAAAATCTTTCCTCCCCTTGACTGAGCACTCAGGAATTCCAGTAATGTCTGTTGAATATAGGTATTTGAGAATCTGACAGTGTCAGATTAAAATTTGAAAAAATACTAATATAAAAGATATAAAATGCAAAGTACCAAGTCGGGTTTCCTTCCAACAGGGATGCAGAAGATGGGATGGAACTTGCCAATAATCTTTGTATACTGCAGCAAATGGTTTTTGTCCTAAAATATTCTGTAAACATTTATGTGAATTTAAAGACAGATGATACAAATAATTTTTTCTCCTTAGAACTGGAAAATGAAACAACCTTGAAAAATATTACTAATATTTCAATATAACTACAAATATGGACAAAACACTCTCAGTACAGGTTTCCAAATGAAAACAAATTTCAGAATATTACTTTTGCGCTAAAACTGTAATATAAACTTAAGAAAAATATACCAAGCCATGTTTATTTAATTAGGAAAAGCAAAATGTAAAAAAAAAAACAGCCTATGTGATATTGCTGAAATTTTTTAAATAATTTTATTTTTCCTCATGAAATTCACCTGACTTGGTATATTTTTCTAAAGTTTATATTACACTTTTAGCACCAAGGTAACATTCTGAAATTTTTTTTTCACCTGTAAACCTTTACTGAATGTTTTTTGTCTATATCTGTTTTTTTTATTGAAGTTTACTAATATTTTGAAGTCTATTTCATTTTCCAGTTTTTAGGAGAAAATATCGAAAAGTTATCAACCTTTCTTAACTTGTGGCATGATATTTATTCCCTTCCAAAGAAAAAAAAACTTGTTTGTATCATCTGTCCTTAATTAATAAAGGGAAAAAACACTTAAATAATTGTTTAATGACAATTTATTGATTGATTGTATGTTGTCTTATTTTCACTCATATAGAGACGTTTTATTATAACTACAAGTCACACCATAAAAGAAAAAGAAAATGTTTAAAACAATGGACATTAAATTTGATTTTTAAGAGAACTTTTCTTCGTGGTCATACCTCTTCAGTTTCAAAAACTGGAGAATCATCAATATTAATATTATTCATGGCCGTAAAATCTGTGGGTTTTCCATCAGAAATGAGAATTATTTTCGGACGAACGTGAAACTCTCCAAACCTTCTTGTGTACCCTGTCGATAAAGTTGAATGTTAAAGCGAAGTTTTGATTTGTGCAAAATTTTTTTTCAAAGTAAATTACTTTCACATTTAAGATATCCGAGCATTAAAATAAATGATTATATCTTCTTAACAATTCTACAATAACACAGTCTATGTACACGCTTATATTTTCTAAATATCTATGTTTATGATTGAACTATGACACGCAATGTCAAGCAAACGTATCATCTCTATATATGAAAAATGAAATAAAACAAAATTTACAAATAAGGATAACAATTTAAAATATGAGAAACACATCACCTTTTTCATTGACATGTAGTAAGCATCCTGAAGACAGAAAAAATGCAGCTGTTAGTGGACTTGGTCCCCCATATTCAACGTCATCTGAAAATAAATATAAAATATGTTGCCTATGTAAATGTTTTAATGTTATACTTAAGCGGTCGGTAGAGGATGCTCTCTACTCCATGGCACATGATCCCTCCTCTGATGTTTCGAAGGTCCATGTTTGCTCTGCTCAATCCTGTACTGTTTATTGGACTTTTGAACTTGAATACTGTTCGCTATCTTCATGTATTTCATTCAATAGGATCATCAACTTTATTTATGATATGACATTTTAAGGGTTTCATACAGTACTTAAACTAAAGAAGGTGCGGATCCAGGAATTCTACAAAAGAAGGGGAGGGGGGTTCCACCCGTCCAAAAAAACCCTTTTCCAGCCCCAAAATTTTTTAACAAGTAAAAAAAAAGAAAAAAAAAAGAAAAACGTTGACTCATTTCCCAAACGTAAAAAATCTATTTCGTGGTGTGAATGTAGGTGGGGTGGGGTGGGGAGAGTTCACTTTAATAAAACTTCATATGAATTTTCATGCCAATTTCATACATGTAGAACTGTGTTTTCGAGGAGGGGTCCGTGTTTTCAAGGGGGTCCATATTCACTTTTTACTTGGTTTAGTTTATACATTTAGTAATTCGGAAATTCCAGGGTGTTCCGGACCCCCATACCCCTATCCCCACCCCCTAGAAAGATCTGCGTATGAAAGACAAGAAAATCACAAAATACTATTAAAGGTCATAAACTGATTAAACATTTAACAGAAAAATGTATACACATCATATGTATCAAAGCAATGTCTTTTACCTAAGCAATGCTTCATATCGGAGTACTGATTTGAGTAGTAACGTTGGAATTTGGTGTTTCTTCCACAGATAATAACTGCTACATTTTCGTCAATATCTGAATGTTTTGCATACTCTAAAATAATTTAAATTACACATTGTCAACATTTTCTCATGTTTTTCTCAGAGGCAAAGGAAGAAAATGAATTTTTCAATAATTTAAAGAGGCCGGGTGGTCGTGGGCATTTTTAGACTATTTTGATCCCCTTTAGAGAAAGAGCTCCATATAAAGATATAATAAAATTATCAAATTTTAAAATTAAAATTTATGAAATTTTTCTTTGCCAAATGAAAGTTGACAGCTTAAGATATCATATCCCAAAATTTAAGTTATATCTGGTGGTTAATAAAAGTATAATTTGTTGACCACCTAGCCTCCTTAACGAAGTCCCGAAAATTCTAAAAAGCTCTATAAATACATTTTAGTCCTTTGTAAAAAAAAT